TTTTAAACATCAGTTGAGGTTCGTACCTAACTCTGTGCAGATAGGTCCTCAGCAGCTAGCAAAGCATTCAGTAACGTGAAATTTTTGGTAAAGTTTTAAGAGGTGATAACATTTCCTGTTCTCTAGATCAGCTATATGGCTGTACAAGATTACAAATACTTCAATATATAAACAAGAAGGGAGGGAAACTTCTTTATAATACAGTGCTTCACCAGAGCCCATTTTGTTCCTTTTTTTTTATTAAATGTCATCCTAGAACTTTAATGTGGGACTGGATACTGGCGATTTCCCTGGTGCAAAATCCAGGACATACTGAAGAGCAGACTTGGGCTCTTCTTGTGTGCTGCCCTTTTCTTACGCTCATAAAGCCTGAGCATGTGCAAAGCTGAAAACTAGCAATGTAAATTTCCTAAATGCCTTTAGAAAACCAAGAACTAAACCACTGCCAAGAGAAACAAGAGTTCCTGAAACTGGACAGCATTGCTCGGGTTTCCTTTGAAGAAGAAGAAAAAAAAAAAAAAAAAAAAAAAAAAAAGAGGCAAATGCCTGAAATATGTAAGAAAGCTATACAGGAGTTAAAGGGAAGCTGCATAGGAAGCAAAGCAAAGCCCAAAATAAAAAGCTGGAATGGAAAACTAAAAATAACAAACAGGAAAGTGTGACACAGATGCAAGGGCTCTGGTGCATTCTCCCCCAGCATTGTACCTTTTTTTTTCAGGAACATACTAATATTGTGTTTGGATTTCAATGGCATTCCAATCCATTATTTGTTCTTCAAAACCAGATGTTTCTCTTGTGAGGAAGAAAGATATTTTCAAGTAATGTTCATATGATTTCAGTTGTCCCAGTTTATCAAATAACACTTTTATAGGCTCGGCAGTTGCAGAGCAGAAAGGCTGCATCAACTATGTCATTTCAAGAAAAATTAATCTGTGTCTTGTTAGAATGGTGAAGATCACCTCATGCATAATCAACTGTTGCCCTTAATTTCAGTTGAATATTTCCCTGATAGCTTTCAAAAGAAGGAAGGGAGCTAGCCCATGAATCTGAGTTGCAGCTACTTTGGAAGCACAGTGGATGGGAGGGGATCAGGAAGGATCAGGAGCATCGTGTACTAATAAAGTTAAGGAAATCTCCATCTTTTTCTTCATCCAAACACAGGTTTGTTTGTTTACACAGAGCACTTTGCCTGCCCTGAGAATCCTACAGGAAGGCAGTGCTGGTGATAGGGGGCTGCTGGGTCTGCCTGGGCTGCAGCCAGATTCCAGCCAGTGCCTGCAGAAAGGCCAGGCTCTCCACAACCACCCCAGCCATGACCAAGGCACCCAGCACATGCACAGGGGTCACTGGTAGCTGCTGTGTAAGGAGACGGGAAGGAATGCTTCCGCATTTATAGATCTTGCTGTATTAACACCTATTTAATTGCTGTACTCACCCACTCTGCAAAAATTAAGCCATGTGTCTGGGTTTTGCATGGTCTACAGCCACCCAGAAGATGGATGGACAATTGACCATGCTTGAATAGTGCTGGTGCCTATTTTAGGAGAGCAAAAAAGCAAGAACATGACAGTTTGTTAGCCCAGGTTTCCTCAAACCATCACAAACCTCAGTGGAAACTACATTAAGACCTGCCAAGCTGGAGATTGTGGTGCCTGTCAAGTTATCAGTCCAACTTGTAAAATTCCTATTTTCAGCAGACACAACAAAAACAGGAAATATTTACCAACTTTGCAGGTGTCAGGAAATGCTTTCAAAGCACTGCTGTGACCTGACAGTCCATTTAAATAGATAGCAAGTATGTACAGAGGTGATAATAAATATATTTTCATGTAAAATATATACTTTGGTACGTTTGCTCTAACCTGTATGTCCCAGCAGATCAGAGTGACAAATCTATATTGTTAATCACGGTAGGGTGATTAATCAATGATACATCTCACAATACTTATGTGAATATATTTATATAATGAAATTGTGCATTAATGTACATTAAAGATGCTTTGCACAGTTGAAGCTGATAATTCTGTTTTTCATTTAAAGTTGGTCTACACTGGAAATATACTTATTACTTGTTATTTGAATAATGGATGGAATACGTCTGAATCTATTTCAGGCTTTTCTATTCAGTGTATTTGAGACATCACTCTAAAACATATGATGATATGTTGTTTGAACTGTAATGGTATCCGCAACATCCTATAATACAAGCTGTAATAGAAACTAAAATATTGCATTACAGCATACTTCTTATCAGTGCCATTGCACATTAAATATAAAATAAGAGGCCATGCATATATTACTATCTTAGTGTTTAGTAGCTGAGAAAATAAAGTCTGCCTACTAGAAATGAGGCCTATTTACCAAACATATTCATACTGGAAATAATATATGACCCCATTAAAAACAAATCTAGAAACTAGATGACGGGAATATATTGTGCAATGAACCATCTCACAACTTTTACCCCAGAAGAGAAGAGCATCTGTAGCTAGCTTCAGGCTTGTGTGGGAAGGAAAGGTCAACCAAAAAGAGGATGCATGGAACATGGAGTTGTGTGAAGAAAGGAAAAAAAGTCTAAAAGAAAATCCACATGAGCAAAATAGGGGAAATAATTTGGAGTGTGAGGTGGAGAGCCAGAAGAGATGTGAAAAGAAAGGTAGAAATATAAAAGTGTGGAAAATAAAGAAGAGGTTGGTGAAGAGCCCTTGGTTTAATGGGTATCACTTCATGTCCCTTTGGAGGCAGTCCTGAAGGGCAAAGGAGTCCAGAAAGGCTGAACATCCTTCAAGAAGGAAATATTAAAGTCTCAGGAGCATGCTGTCCCCACATGCCAAAGGATGAGCCGTCAGGGAAGAAGACCAGACTGGTTGAACAGAGAGCTTTCGCTGAAACTCAGAATAAAAAAGAGTTTATGACCTTTGGAAGAAGGGGGAGGCAAATTAGGACAACATGTATGTCGTGAGGTTATGCAGGGAGAAAATCGGAAGGGCTAAATCTCAACTAGAACTTAATCTGGCTACTGCTGTAAAAGACAATTAAAAAATGTTTCTGTAAATACATTAACATCAATGGAGGGCTAGGGAGACTCTTCATCCATCAGTCAAATGCAGGAGGAAACATAGTGACAAAGGATGAAGAAAAGACTGAGATACTCAATGCCTTCTTTGCCTCAGTCTTTAATAGTAAGACCCATTGTTCTTGGGGTATCCAGCTCCCTGTGCTGGAAGACAGGGGTGGGGAGCAGAATAAAGCCCCATAATCCAAGGGGAAAAACTATCTGGCTGGCTAGGTCCAAAGAGTTGTGATGAATGGAGTTAAATCCAGTTGGTGGCTGGTCACAAGTGGTGTTCCCCAGAGCTCAGCACTTGGGGCCACTTCTGTTTAATATCTTTATCAATGGTCTGGATGAGGGGATTGAATGGACCCTCAGAAATGTTGCAGAGGACACCAAGTCTAGGACGGGACTCGATATGGATGGGAGTGCTGATCTTCTTGAGGGTAGGAAGGCTCTATAGAGGTATCAAAACAGGCTGGGTCAATGGGCCAAGGTCACTGTATGAAGTTCAACAAGGCTCAGTGCTGGGTCCTGCACTGGGATCCCAACAACCCTACGCAACACTACAGGCTCAGGGAAGAGTGTCTGGAAAGCTGCCCAGCAGAAAAGGACCTGGGGGTGTTGGTCGACAGCTGGCTGAGTATGAGCCAGCAGTGTGCCCGGGTGGCCAAGAAGGCCAAGGGTGTCCTGGCTTGTATCAGAGATAGCGTGGCCAGCAGCACTAGGGGAGTGATCATCCCCCTGTACTCAGCACTGGTGAGGCTGCACCTCGAATACTGTGTTCAGTTTTGGGACCTACAGGAAAGACATTGAGGTCCTGGAGCGTGTCCAAAGAAGGGCAACGAAGCTGGTGAAGGGCCTAGAGCACATCTTATGAGGAGTGGCTGTTGTTCAGCCTGGAGGAAAGGAGGCTGAGGGGAGACCTTATCTCTCTCTACAACTGCTTGAAAGGAGGTGGGTGTCAGTCCCTTCTCCCAAATAAGTGATAAGACAAGAGGAAATGGCCTCAAGTTGTGTCAGGGGAGGTTTAGATTGGCTATTAGGAAAAGTTTCTTTGCCAAAAGGCTTGTCAAGCATTGGAACAGACTCTCCAGGGAAGTGCTTGAGTCACCATCCCTGGAGGTGTTTTAAAGACGTGTAGATGTGGCACTTAGGGACATGATTTAGTGGTGGACTTGGCAGTGTTATGTTTATCATTTAGGTATTTTCCAACCTAAATGATTCTATGCTTCTATGATCATTTGCATTTTTTCTTCTACCAGTTTAGTCCTATTGCCACGAGTAGCAACAGGGAGATGTTTCAAAGGATAATAGATAAAATTTGCTTATGTTATAAATTCATCCTGGAATCTATTCTGTGTTGAGAAATCTGTCACCAGAACAGCTGAAGAAATGCAGAAGCATTTTATAAATTTGATGGAAAACAGAGAAAAACATTGAAAAAAGTTTGCAGATGTCCCTCTCCCCCTTTCTCCAGAGTTGCCAGGTGTGAATTCACAGGTTATTCCTATACAGTAAATCAAACAGTGCCAAGGAGTTGCAGTTCCTGACCCAGGGATAAATGGTTCCTGGCATGGCAGTGACCAGGTCAGCAAGAAAAGTCTCAAACCCTTCCTGCACTGGCGTTGGCCAGGGAGGGGCTGTCCCCAGTAGGTAATCTGGATCCAGCCACCTTGTTTTGGAGGAAGACAGTTGAATGGTATGGACACAAACTATTCTGGACATGGGCCACCACTCAGCTTCAGCAACGGAGAAGCAAATTCACTGAAGCAGATGCATCCATTGTGAAACTGTTTCTGTGGATTTGAGAGCAAAACTGCGTAGTCTGCATGCACCGTGGCTATGCTATCACCATCAGTCTTACTCTGTTATTAATGGATAGACACAATAGACAGTGATGCTTTCAGTTATTTTTTTATTGAACAATAATAATCATATACTTTTTAAAACCAACCAGCTTATTAGATTTACATTCAAGAACTCATAATGTCATTTATGACACTGTTGCAAACTAATAATAATGTATGCAAATATTTACTGCATTCTTTAAATAATTCTCTCCAGTCTGCTGAAGGACTGTGAGTTTGATCCTGCTCTCACTGAAATCAAGAAAAGATTACTTTTGATATTAGTAGATGAGAATGAATATGCTTGCTTATAAATAGCCCAAGATAATATTGCTCCCTCTCAGACCTAAACATTCAATACATGTTAACATGTGGTATATGCTAGTTTGAGATATATGTTTATGTGCCTCCGATTAACGTGGCAAGAGAGCCTGCACTGCCATGCTGACATTTGGATGTCTGCTGCTGTCATCATCCTCTTGTTCCAGAGCAGCACAATTCAGTGCTGCTTTCCCAGGCAAAAACAGCTTACTTCCACTGAGATTGGCTTTGGGTCAGGATTTGGACTCTTTAAAGCCTTTGGAGTTTCTGTTCTTCATAATTTTAAAAGTATGTTTTCAGATCCTGCACCAAACTTTGGCTGTGGTACTCTGTGCTCCTTCTTTCACTGAAGTCACTGTCAAAGCTGACATTGATTTCAAAGGAAATACTCAATTCAAACCAAATTTCCAATGAGAGTGCTCTGCGTTACGAGACAGTTCCTAAACTCATGCAATCCAGGTTCACTCTAACATAGCTACATCAGTTTCCATTATCTGAGGATCTGGTTGTTTCCAGACATGTTAGCAAACCCATAGCAGTGTGGATTTTTATGCTACAGATACATCATCCAGTCTGAACTGAATGAGGGACTGCCAGTTCCTACAACACTCTAACGCATATGTTATTCTCCTGGCTGAAATGGGACCGCTTGCTCATGCAAGTAAGAAAGGAAGGACTGGGTACCAAAGCACTGTAGGCTGTGTCTGAGCTACCACTCACCGAGGGTCCAAGTCTTCCCTACACTGGATTAGATGAACACCCTGTGAGTGGCAGCTGGGCTGCAGCCAGTGATGAAAATGGAAACTACAAAGGTCCATTTTCTGGCCTCTGGCGCTGACTTGCTCTTCCACAAGAAAAGCAGACTTTGCCTTAGTGACACTAGTAGCAGCTTTATAGAAGCAGGTATATTTAAATAATACTAACCAGCTTCTTTCATTTCAGGTCCCCCTCTGCAAATCTGTATCATTTACCACGCTGCTGTTTCTCTGTACAGAATTTAACTTTAGAAATCCACCTTAATACAGTATACGCCTGCAGTGTCTTGGCTACATTACTCACAAGGTATAAACTGGAATGCTGCATGTTTTCTCACTTATGAAAGGTGTCATTATCTCCAAGGAATTGTCACCAAACTTCCAAAAACCAGAAAATGACTAATGACTAACATTGGTTTATTTAATGCACACTGTTGTGCTCCTACATTATCATTATTATTATTGTGATTCAGGGGTGTTGTTTTCTATCCTGGGATTTGCTGATGTGCATTTCTTTCACATTGGCTCCACACCAATAGTTTCACTCACCCAAAATGTCCACTGAATTCAGAGAGAGCTTTCCCAGCCTCCAGCTGCAAAAGTCAGCCTCTGGCATTATTTAAATGAGAAGGGTTGAATCATGTTGGTTTTTTAATATTACTATACATTCAGGAATCCACAATACATTTCTCTGTTCAAATATTTATCAAAACAAATATCAAAAATCATATACACTGTACAGTCTATTTTTAAGTAAACATTTTTCTCATGAAAAACAGAATCACAATCGGCCTTCAGAGGTTACATTTTCATATGCTATAGATCTACTTTGTTCTGAAAGTGTGTTGTTGCATATTCAATAATCTGTGAGAAATGCATTCACTTGAAAGTCTTATGAGTGCAAGTAAATATCAGCGAGGATTTAGCCATTTCATTACCGGAGAGTGAATAGCTTTCTCCTTAACGAACTCCTCTTTTACAGAATTGCCATCCCCTGATGCCATGTCATTCTCTGGAAATATAGAAAAATAAAGGTGGGTTTCATCAAAATGAGAGAACTAAAATATTGTGCTGCAGCAACGTCTCTGGTTTGAGGAACACTTTAGAAAAACCTTAGCTGACAAATCTTTCAGGAATCTCCCTGAATTCCTCCAATAATTTAGTTACAAAATTCCTGCCAAATTATGGCATAAGACAGATGTGTTTTCTAATAGTTTAAGCACAAGACCAGTGATATGAGTTCAGTTGCCAGCTCTCACTATAACACTCCAGTGTGACATGGGACCAAGCAGCATGTACTCAATAGCTACAGCAGTAAATTAAACATGCCTGGAGCTATTCCCTGACTGATGCCAGCTGGCATGGAATAGCCTGCTGCATGCCACTAAACTCTCTTACTCTCTGTGCTTGGTTTGAGTTGTGGGGTTTTTGGTAGCAGCTACAGCAGTGGCCCCTGTGAGAAGTTTCTCAGAGCTCCCCCTGGCTCTAAGTTGGACCCACCTCTGACCAAGGTCGAACATATTAGCCACAGTGGCTGCACCTCTGTGATAATGAATTTAAGAAGCAGAACCTGGGAGGGGCTTAGGACTTGGGTGGAGGAGTTGAGAGGAGGACACCTTTGTGAACACCCATGTCAGTGGAAGGAAGGAGGAGGAAGGGGTGGAGGTGCATCAGAGCGGATATCCCTGTGTCCCATGGTGTGACAGCAGGGTCTCCCTCCCTGCCACCCATAGACGTCTGTGGTGGAGCAGAGGCCAACCTGAAGTCTGTGGAGGAGCTCATCTGGGACAGGTGTCTGTGCTTAAAGAAAGCCAGGACTGTGAGGGGAGAAGTGGCCCGTGCTGTTGTGGTTTGGCACTGGGAAGGCTGCGACACGTGGCCTGTGCCACACCAGAGTAGCTGGGAATGGCTGCCTCCCGTGGGGAGCGCTCACGCTGGAGAAGGTTCATGGAGGAGTGTCTGCAGGGAGAGGGGAGCCCCGTGGAGCAGGGGAGGAACATGCAGCATTCACCTCATCTCTGAAGAAGGAAGTAGAGGCGAGCTGACTGTAATCTCTGTGCTGCTGGGGAGAAGGTAGAGAGATGGGGAGCAGAGCTGAGCCTGGGAAGAAGGGAGGGGCAAGGGGAGGTGTTTTTGGAGGTGGTGGCGCTTCTCACTGTCCCACCTGGTCTATTAAGTGTTGTCTTTGTTAGTGTTTGAATTAAAGTGATGATGTTTTTTTTTCTTCCCCTAATGAATCTGTCTTTTAACCATGACTGTATTGGGTGAGCCATCCTGCCCTGTCCTTATCTCAATTCCAGAGCCTTTTACTTTATTTTCTCCTTCCCATTCCTGAGGGAGAAGGGATGAGTGAACAGCTGTGTGGTGCTCAGTTGCACTCTGGGGTCCAACCATGACACTATCCAAAAAGAGGTAGAAGCTATTCTGTTTGTCTACTGGAAATGTTCCCTGGCTGACCCTGATTCCTGAGCTGAGGTTGGTAGGCATGTTTAACTAGGCTGGAACAAAGCATGCCGGCCACTGCCTTATTGTTTGACCATGAAGGTGGTCAAATTGCAATACACAGGAACACACTCTGGCACCATTAAATTTACCAGGGTATATGTAACCATAATGTCTTTGTAAAATATACAGGCCAGACAATCACCTTTGTAAAATACAGAAACATTCACAACTGTTTTAATTCACTGAGAATCTGTCTTAGATGCTATAGTTGCCTCTGAAGACAACCATTACATGAAACCCCGTGTGACCATCCCATGCAGTACCACCCACAGTGTCCCTGGTCTACTTATAGTGACGGACGTCTAAGGACAGAAATCAGTGTGAAACCTTTGCACTGGTGAAAAATCCATTTGTTTCTATGGGGTCATATCTCATCCTGACTGGGATCAAACAAGCTGCTAAACATTGAGGCAGCAGAAGAGCAAGGGAGGGAAAGGAAAGGGGAGGAGGAACTGGTGAAACAGGCTATCTGGGAAGATTTGGAATATAGGCTAGACATGGAAAAAAAGCAAGACTGGAATATTTTTTCATGTTATTTCAGCACCCTTAGTAATAAACAAAACCTGGAAAAGCAAAAGAGGGTAATCATGTAAAAAAAGTACAAAAGGATCAGGACAGATTGCAAACCGCTCTTTTTCAAGATCATCTTAAATGTGGTATGAGCATAAACTGAAGAAGTTTGCTTCTGTCTAACTTTCTCTAAACAGAGAGTGGGTGAAAGAGAAATCGTGTTTTAAGGCAGCAACCTCTAGATAGCTTAATGGACAGGAGAAAAAACAAAATAAGACACACAAACTGCAGTTGGAAGAGAAACAAAATTCAAGGACTTTTGGATTAAATCCTAGAAAAGCTCCCAGTAGGTCTAGGATTACATCACAGATATTTATTTAAAATCTTTACAACCATATTGATTTTGATTAGTGTTTAAATTTAGTGTAAACTGTTCAGTCAAATATACCTCTGTATCATCAGGTGGAGAATAAAAGGGGAACAAATTTTAATCTCATCTTTAAAAACTTCAGTGATCTCTCCTTCCTACCTCAAAAACACTCCAGTTACTCACACGCCTTTTTTTAAAATTCTGTAAAGATCTATTCCAGGCTTCAGACATAATTTTAAAGACAATAATTTATTCCAGAGATACTGTGATAAATTGCTACAATAAAATATTTCATAAAAGTTCACTGACATTTGAAAATGCATAAAGCTCTGTCTTCATGGGGAAAAAAACGTTATTCTTACCATGTATCAGCTAACAGTAGTAAATGCAACCTAGTGAAATCTTATTCTGCACAAAGCAGCTACATGCATCACATCTGAACTGACTACTGCCAGTTCTAGCATAGCTTCTCATTGCACAGGTGACATTGTACTGCTAGCACTTGCAAGAGTTATGAAGTATTTCACCCATGTTAAGATTTCAAAATGTTTATACCATGTGTCACAACTCACTAAATTTCTTGCTTTATGCTAGGGGAGCTGCCAATAAGAAAATAAATGTACCTTGTGTTGTTAGCTGTTTGCAAAGCTCCACCAAAGAACACATCACTCACACACAGCATACACAGTGTGGTAGTAGATCACGTACAAGGCAATTTCTGCTACAATCAACTGCCCCACTAAGTCTTACCTGTGTGTGAAACTATTTTTCGTCGATTTGGAGTCTTTGAAGCTGACAGTTGAAAAAATGGGAACTTCAAACACTTCCCAGTTACTCTGTCACAGATTCCAGAGGGACAGTTGCAGATTTTCCTGCATTCCATTCCATAGGTACCGTAGGGACACTCTGAAAAAAAGTAATATAGCAAAGCAGTCCTCAGTGATCCAACTCAGCTGGCAGCTCTCTTAATAGCTGGTCTGCCTATAATCTTAAAAGTGGAAAATGTCTGAGTGGAGCTCAGCTAAACCTTAACTACAGGATTTCAGCATGCCAACTGCTTGTTACAAGTATTTTCCAGTGTTAACAAACCTTGACACACGTTATAGACATAATTTCCTTTACTATAACTTAATTACAATGTGCTTTCTGTAATCCTTCTCTGAAACACTTGTAGCATTATAATGCAAATTAAAGGCAATATGACTATGTGAGTACTTAGAGAGGATGTAGTTGAAGGATTAGTATTGAATTTAGACAAGAAGAAGACTTCAGAAAGTTCCTGAATTCACTGTTTGGGCATGACAGTATCTGTCTTGGATGGCAGTCATGATTTAGAGCTGCAATCTATTGCTGGTGTTGGGCTGCTTGTGGCCGGAGAGTGGCAGCTGCCGCCCCGACCCTGAGGAGCTATCCAGCAAATGCACCCTGCCCTGGAGACGCTCCCGGCTCCTGGGGAAGAGCCATCCCCTACGCAACAACTTCTCAGACAGCAGAGCTCTGCCTTCCCATGGCAGACAGCAAAGAGCTCACCTACATCTCCAGCCTAAAGGGTGCGTATGCTCTAAAGGGATCACTGGCACTAAGGCGGCTGCCTGGTTATAGTGTTTCTCATCACATACTGCCACAATTCAAATCCTCCATCCCTGAGCAAGCTTGTAGAGGAGCACCAAAGGGCATCTGTCAGGATAGAACTAAACGTTCTTTTGAAAAAAATTAAGCCAGGTTCAGAGGATTTGCCCCATCCCATAGCTGACTTTTATCACATGCTGGATCACATAACTTCTCAGAGGGTTTAGACCTGGAGTCACAGCCCTTGTCTCCCTCTGCCTCGCTGTTGAACAGGGTACCTTCCCAGGACCATAGCTGAAGAGATGGAGACAAGGAAAATCCAGCTCCAACATCGCCTTTCCAAACCCCCCAAACAACAGATGATCCCGAGAAAAATTTGGGATGTCCCAGGAGAAAGGTGTTCATGCTCAAGCTGTTCTTGCCAGCCCAGGGTGCATAGTCACCTTAAATAGCAAGTCCTGGGGAGTTTACAATTCAACTCCTAAGGGCAAATGAATTGCAATTCAGGGCTGGACAAAGGATCCATCCAGCCCAGGCTCCCACAGAACACTGAAGAAAAAAAATGACTACGGTAAGCACAAATGATACCTTCTCCCTCATATTCCCCCCCCCATTTTCAGTGCTGGGACCTCCTGAACCAGACACAGTTTCTGTGCATATAACATCCCACAACAGGGTTATCCTTCTCAGTTTCTCCAGTCTCCTCTTGAGTCAATGCAAATATTTTGTTTCACCATATGGACCAGGCTGTCTGAAAATCAGACTAATTTCCCAAAATGAAATCAACATTTCACAATTCTCTGCATGTCTAGTGGGTACACTTTTATAAATAAATAGCACTGAAAAATCAGCTTATTCCCTGATGGGGACTGCACAGTGAATTGCCCCAGGGACCTCACTGAGCTTCACCACATTCCCCTTCCCAAGCAAGGACAGCTTTTGATCTGCTGTTTGTCCGCATAAAACAAAAACTAAATCCTGCCAAAGCAAAACAATTTTTCTGTGCACAGTCCTCCCTGAGACACAATCTGAGAGCACACACCACATGAAACATCAACCCGCCTGCTGCAGGTGCTCAGCCATTCAGCCCAGACAGGTTGGATACAAAGCTGTCCACTGCAGCCTGGAAACAAGTTTGAGCCCAAAGCACTTGGGTCCATGTAGAATAATCCTGGCATTGATGCTGCTCTTCAGATTTGATGAAACTGAGATCTGAGTCAATTTTACTATTAGAAGGTTTTGTTCAGTGAGAGCCTGCTCCTAAATTAATTGCAAATCGCTCCCAGTGATCTAAGTGAAGCAAGAGCAGGTTCTTTACTGAGACAGTTATACCTCAGGTTTAGAGGGTATTTATTAATAGAAGTGCAGAGCACCATATGTCTTTGTCTGTTTTGGACAGTAATGACATTGCTATTGATAATAATATGATACACTCTTATAATACTAAAAGTACTCCAAAAATTGCTCTGAGACATATACTGTCCATGTTTTATCCATTTTAGAAATAAGAAATTGAAGAACAGAGAGTTCATTTTTCCACAACTTCAAAGTAAATCAGTTGCAGGCAACCAGAGAAAATTTAGCTGTTTTGATTCTGTGAATTATTACAAACATGGAAGTTACTAAAATGAGCGAGTGATCTGGTATCATAGCTATAAATGGAAATATAAAATAACAGTGCTTGGCCCCATACTTTTCCTGATAAAATTCACATACATACAGAGACAGATTGTACTATCTCAGAGCTGAGATGAAAAAAGAATAAGAATTAGAAATTACATCTATAATATTTACTGTAAATAAATAAATGGGGAATATAAGCCTTAGATATAAATTTACAACTCTAAGCCAAGATATGTCTTTATTGAAATTAGAGTTTTCCTACTGACTGACTGAGAGAAAAAAAGAAAAAAAACACTTTACATTTTCTACAGAGCCTCCAAGATTCAGCTACAGGGATTCAGATCTCATGTCCCTCAATGCTTCTTTTTTCCCATTTGAAATATGCTATTGCAAAGAAATTCCTATGAGGACAATGAAAAGTATAAAATCATTCAAAAGAACTGTTAAAAGAATTATAAGTGGTATCTTGCACTGCAGTAATTTTTAATAAACTTAAGATCAGTCAACAATCTCAGTAAAATACTTTTCAAGAGGGTGCATCAAAGATACAATATTTATGTGTAAATTCTTTAGAATTTAGTCTTTAGAAATAAAAGTAGTATTCTGGGTTTCATCCTCAAACATGCATATGAATTTGGTTTTAAATGCCAGCGTAAATAAGTGTGTGCTGTATGTGAGTCAGCCTGAATGATTTTTGCAGCAGCTGGTCCTAAGTCATTACTTTAACTGAGGCTATTAATACTCCTGATATTTAACTGTCAAGACATCTCCACTTTTAAGGAAGTTATTCCAAGGCATATCTGTATCTACTTACTGAAGTGGTACATGAACACAGGACAACTCACTGAATTCAAGTTTTGTGAAGCCTTTTTAAAAAAATATTTCTTTTAAAAACTTTAATCCTATTTCTTATTAATTTAATACCTTCTCTCCTTTTAAAGATTCTCCTTCTTGCATGGAGTGAGGATAGCTCTTAAATTAAAAATGCCATTATAGTCTATGACTAAAGAAATCAGCATGCAGCATACCTGGAATAAACTGAGAGCAATGACTGGCTGCACATCTCACAGTTAGCTCCTGTTCTGTTATTCCCGTCTTTCAGGCAGGAGGGTTTCTGCCTCCCCTGATCACATCCCTAGGGTAGCTGAGCACCTCAAAGGCAGGACTGAGTTAAACATAATGTCCCCAGGTGCTCAGGCAGTGCTGTTGCCTCCATCTCCCAGACCCCAGAGAGAGCATCTCGTCCCTGGGCAGGCAGCTGGAATTGCCTGAGGGAACCTCAACCCAGAGGGAGTGTGGCAGGAGCAGGGACCTGGTGACAAGGTTGGACTTGCAGGATTAAAGTCTGCAATTTATAGAAAGCCACCCAACAAATCAGTGGAAGGATCAGAACTAGAGCCTGGGTCTCCCAAGTCCCAATCAAAAATCTCATGTCTGAGCACACCCCATCTGTATTTCCTCACACATGTCCGCAAGTCTAAACAATATTCTCACATTAATAACCCTGTCCTTTTAGCAACAACAGGTATTTTTCACTTTCTTCTTGGCTAAGGGCTGATCTGGAAAAACCCCATTTTAGAACTTTCAAGCAGGAGGCAAACTCTATATGTAAGTTGCTGTCAAATTGCCACAGTGGGTGCATGCAGAGTGAATACTATTACCTTTGCAGATACCAAATTCATCACCAAAGTCATCCTCCTCAGTGTAAAATTGGCACTTCAGCCCAGGACCACATTTGACACCATCCATACCCGAGACCGTTCGATAGCAAGTCTCCCCCAGAGCAGCTGCACACACTCTGCAACAGCCACAGTCATCCAGCACCGTTCGTTTACAGCGCAAGGTACTTTTGCATGCGTTACTGTCACAGGGCTCGGGACAATCTACTGCGTATTTCGCACTCCAAGCAGTTCCAGCGTGCACGGGCATCAGGAGGAGTGTGAGAAACAGGAAGCCCTTCATGTCTTGCAGGGGTAAATGCTCCGTCCCAAAGAGCAGGTTTTAATGCTCAGCCTGCTGGTGCCTTGTGCTGAGGGAAGCAGCGGTACAGAATCCAAAGTGGTAGCTGCACACATCAGCCTACAAGTTTATGAGCTTTATACAGTGTGTTGCCCACATGCTGCACCGTCGTCAGCTTCCTCAATCCGGCAGTGCTGCTTCTGCCAGCCTCCCTTGTTTCAGTTTATGAAATCCAGGATGAAGGTTGGATTAGCACTCTGCTGCCATCCAGGAATTGAAAAGCCTGAGCTGATGTAATCTGTTATGTTTAGCTGGTTGTTTTGCATGAGGACTGAAAACTCTCTCACATCCGTTTCAAATGCTCAAGGACGTTTGCCAAAAGAGAAAAAAAAAAAAAAAAAAAAAAGCCACACACAACACCAAAAAGAAAGAAAAAAATCCAACCCTGAGTAGGTTGCATACCTTCCTGCAAGACAGGGATCACTCTGACACTGGGCATACTGCTGACAGGACAGCTCTGCCTCTCTAACACAGCTCATGCAGCCAGAAGAAAATCATGCTGAATCACCTCACTGCTGAAAGAATAGTCTTTAAAAGACTAAATCTCTTCCATCCCCTTCAAGGGGACATGGACGGTTACTTTAAGGAACAAAGTGAGATCATGCCATTTAACAGCTGATCTCACATGTTTCAGTAGTGTTTTTCCTGCCTGCATCAAAATGGTACTTTCTAATCAGTATTTAGGTGGAGATAAATTAAACTTTTCACTCAAATATTACTGCTATAACTAAAACCAGGTCAGACAGAAAACAGCATTTTGTGGGATCTTCCACCGGAAGTTCAGGAGAATGATCAGTGAGTTGCTCCAACCTCCCAACCGAAGGGGGGAGTCCCCATTCATCACAAGCACTGTCTGCACAACCTTAATATGGATCTGGGGGGACTGACTCTCCTCCTCTTTACACCACTTCTATCCCGATCAAACTCTGTGGCCTGCTCTGATGTTGCTGTTCTATGAAATCAGTGTAAATAAACAGAAACTAAGTCTCCGTTTCCCCCATCCCCCTTTTAAACTTTATTCGTGTTGCCAGAGCCTTGACAAGAAACAGCAAACAACCGAAGAGTTCAGTGAAACAGATGAGCCACCAGAGAGATGAAAATTTCTGCTCTAAAGAAAGATCTACAGGAAAGGAAGAAAGGAATAAAGCTATCTGTAAATAAATCTCTGAATACCAAAAGTTACTGCCACTGAAGTTAGTGGGAACTAAATCATTCTATACTTGCATATGACCAGCTTGCCATTTGGGAATCCTGTCTCTCAAGTGGGCTGAGGATACTGCTAGGTAGTCTGCCAAATAAAATGAAGGGCTATGCTGGAAATACAGGAGAGCTGGAAAGCCTTTACTTCATGAATGCCAGTGTGAATTGATAGATCCAAAATAAAATGCTTAACTCTTGTCTCTTGTGAAGATGAGAAAACCAACATACTGTATGTTGCATTTGGGTAGATTGTTTGTATACTTCTTGTAAATGTGGGTAGCAGAGCACAGCATGAGAAGAGAAAGGGAAGAGAAGGGGAAGAGAGGAAGGAGAAGGAGGAGAAGGAGAAGGAGAAGGAGAAGGAGAAGGAGAAGGAGAAGGAGAAGGAGAAGGAGAAGGAGAAGGAGAAGGAGAAGGAGAAGGAGAAGGAGAAGGAGAAGGAGAAGGAGAAGGAGAAGGAGAAGGAGAAGGAGAAGGAGAAGGAGAAGGAGAAGGAGAAGGAGAAGGAGAAGGAGAAGGAGAAGGAGAAGGAGAAGGAGAAGGAGAAGGAGAAGGAGAAGGAGAAGGAAGGAAGGAGAAGGAGAAGGAGAAGGAGAAGGAGAAGGAGAAGGAGAAGGAGAAGGAGAAGGAGAAGGAGAAGGAGAAGGAGAAGGAGAAGGAGAAGGAGAAGGAGAAGGAGAAGGAGAAGGAGAAGGAGAAGGAGAAGGAGAAGGAGAAGGAGAAGGAGAAGGAGAAGGAGAAGGAGAGGAGAACCTAGTATGTTTAACACATGTCAAAGGGAGACTTCACTCAGGCAAATATTTTCAGGCATCCATCTTACACAGAATAGTATCACTTGAAATACTGTTCTAATCACAGTTGCCATCTGGCAGATGTTTACATGCACTAGCTCATGCCTGTTTTCACATGTAATCTTGGACCAATCAGTGAATTTAAAGTGTAAAAATTAAAGCATTAAGTTGAAGTCTCATATAAACTGAAAAATTGCTATTGAGATGACAGCAATTATCAATAATAGACAACTTCATCTTCAAAATTTAATGCAACTATCCTCTAGAAAGAGAAAGGAATACTTCAAACATGGAAATGAAGATTGGAGCTAAAACTGAGGAGAGGGACAAAAGTGCAAGGTTATAATAGGCAGATAAATTAGAAATGGATGTGTTATCCCTGACTCCATCACAACTACAAAATGGCAAAAGCCTGTTTAAAAAAAAAAAAAAAAAAAGAAAAACCCAGTAGAAAATCTCCCCCATAGTTCACAAGTCAGCAGAGGAATGTAAACCACTGCCCATTTCTGATGTCATCAGCATCAACTAAAATTGACATTGGTTTATATTAATAGGTCAGACTATAACCTATGGTGCTGAGAAGCCTGTGTAAATCTCTACTGGGCAGTGCCTCAGTGGGAGAGAGGCTAAGTTCGATTAGAGGGCCACAGAGCACAGCTAAGGGCAATAATTATTTTAGTTCCCCAGCCAAACCTGCTCACAAGGGTGAAATATCCCAAAGAAGCAGATGGCATACTTAGTACATGAGACTTCACAGGTCTGCAGCAGCAAGGAGCAGAAAGGCTCTCCCTTAAGTCCCTTCCTTATGTCTCCCTCAAATTATTTCACACCTGCCCTTAAATTCATACCTACTTGTTCACTCAGAGGACATAACAGAGGGGTGTGCAGGCCCATCCACACATGCATTCAGGAATTTATCCCTGGTAGTAAACACCAGCTAGTAAAATCCTGTCCTGTAAATATATTCAGGAAATGCTCCTTGTCTAAAACACCAAGCAAAGATCTGAAAGGACAGCATTTCATGTCAGAGTTTCTCACAGGGAAAATGTCCTAGGGAGATGATAAATAAAAAAATTACACACAGATGTAGTGAGGAAAAGAAATCTTAAAAGAAATCAGCACACTCCCCTAGAAACTAGCCAATATTATCTGGAATAAGATGGAAACTCTTTTCTGTGCTTGGAGCTAGAAGCCAAAGTAAATTATTATAATTGATCAAAAACTACATGTAATGGAAGAAAACAACATGAACAGATAAATGTCTGGCTTATACATGAGTGTCATGGAGGAAATAACGATACTATGATCTTCCACACTGTCCAACGATTAAATAGTGAATTAAATCCAATGTCACTCCCTCTGGTTTTAATGTTTCTTTGTTGTTTCACCTGTTTGAATCCATTAAGCTTTTCTTTCCAGTGAACAGCTTGATGCTGTAAAGCCCTGAGCTAAGCTCTCCCTGGTGCAATGGGAATTAATTAAGCTTTCCCAGCTATCAATCACAGAAAATTTGGCACCATTATTTAACTTGTGGTAGAAATATACTTTAAATGTGGAAGATTTTCTCAATCAGATCAGATCAGTGCTATTTTTTTTTTCCAAATTTACAGTATAAATTGTCTTGGTTCCAGTTTATATCGTAATTACATCACCATGTATAATGTTTGGCATTCCTTCGAGAAGCAGAAAAGATTTCAACCCTAAGGTTCAACACTTTACAGGGAACAGAGTAATCACTGCTTTAGTATCAGTGAGCTGTGAAATGTGTTTCCAGCTGAATATTTCAGAGCAAAATTTTTCTAGTTCTTTTGCAAATAATCAATTTCTCAAGCAAAAGCAGCTTGTGTGGGGATCTTGAGGTTGTATTTATGACCTCTGAAAGGTTTGACCACAACTGTTAAGGATCCCCATGAAATTACATACCTCATGATACATGATTAATCTGTGTTGACACATGGGACCAGTCTGTTCATTAGGCCAATACGCTAAGGCTTTGCTCATTTTACTCTTTAGATAGACTACCATTCATTTCAATTCTTCTTAACTTAAGCATTCTAGTCACTGTCATTATCCAGTCCTTTGAACACATAAAGTCGGGATAAGCAGGAAGCATTAATATCTCTTTAAACATAGGAAAAGGTTTAATACATGACCCTTGTTGCTGAATTCCAAAGGGCAGTCCCTAAACTAAAAATATGTTACTGTACATTCCTGAATGATCCAACCTTTTCCCAGGCTTCCTTTAAAAAAAGCCATAAGCACAATGCTATACAAGAAGCAAAGATTCAAAGGGAAATACCGAAAGGAAGCTGAGCTGCAAAGTCCAAAATGAAAAGCCAGAAATAGGAAGTAAAAGATAAGAATCAGGAAAGTGAGATAGTGGCAAGGACTCCCCTTTGTATGATTTTTTTTCTTGTATCTTTTCAATGAATTGCTAATTACTCTTTGTTTTGACCGTAGCATGGCAACTCAACTTCAATCTGGTAAAAATAGATGCTTTGGGACATTTCCTACTTGCTGAAGGCAAGAGGTGTTTACATCCTTTCTCCAGGCAGACCAGGTGCTATGCAGAGAACTGGGTAGGCAGACTACCTATGCACAGGCTTCAGGAGTTACTACAGAATGACTGGGTACAGTGGGGTTATCTGCAGGGAGTCTCAGGAGTTAGAGCCATAGCTTGTTCAGAGCATATTAAAAATATACTTGGCCATAACTCCACACACAAATTTGTGGCATGTCCAGCCTGGAAGCTGGAAGCCAAACTCACTGCACAGTCCTGTTCCTCAATGGGTTGTGGCCATGGCCTGGCTCTGGTTGAAGGATCTCTGCACTGTGTCATCCCTGCACAGTGTGGTTATTTCCAGTGATTTTACAACCAGTAGCGATGATCTGCATAGCAGATCACTGGCTTTGCCTCAATTAATTCATGAATAGAGTCAAATAATTCTGCTGTGCTTGGAGAGCATGTTCAAGAGACAAAAAACATCACAGAGTGGTAGAAAAGATCTACTACATAGCAACAAGGGTCAATTTTCTCCAAGGCAGGCAAATTGGGGTTTGTCAGACACAATAAATACGCAGTTGATGTGAGTGGGCAAAAATGGTGAAAAAATAGGTTGTGATTCTGTTATGCTGAAGTCTTTTTTTATGACTTTCAAATCATCTACATTTCCAGAGGAAGAAAGAGGTTTCAGTGCCCAAGACAT